CCTGAAGAAGACGATTAGTGCCAAAAATCAAGCAAATACTCCTCAACTTGAACCTGGTTAGCTCGGTATACCGCAAGCACAAGCACAAAACTGACTTCTACATTACCAAAATGCCTACATTTAATAAAACAAAGCACTAAGCTTGAAAAATTTTCTGTTCTTTACTAGATATGGCGAGAATGATAAATAAATTGATAATGAATGATAATGATTATAAATCGCTCATATGACCTCTTCCAGAATCACCGTAAGACTTCTGTGGTGGGTGTTGGTCCTCAAGAGGAAGGGGTTTGAGATAAAGGATGAGTTTTTGCTCACAGGATCCATCAAAAACGATAGAAAGCGCGAGTGCGAAGGTATAATGCATATCCACGACGATTATAAGAGGTTGCTAGGTATATGTCGATTATAAACCAGTTCTATATGATACTAACAGGTTCTCCAATGCGTCAGCTCTTACGACTAACACTGATGTTGGATATGCCATTCAAGTTTCTAATTACTCTTCATATTAAAAACCATAAAGATTGGATCCTTCATTTCCCCAAATAATCACGACATCTTATATGCATGAAAAGCGTTCGGACAATGCATTCAAGTTGATACCACAGATGCGACTAAGCGACAATCATTCTGGGTAGAAGACAATTCTTCCTTATTCAAATTATTACATGTAATATTTAAACCCATTCATACTAAGTATTAGCAAAACCTCCATAAAAGGAAGGAATACTGGTATATCAAATGCCACAAAACCTTGTTTTATGCAGACCAAAAAAAAAGTGATGGTGAATCCCACCTTTGTTGCCATCCTCGCATCACTTCGTCAACCATTGGGTCACGGCCAGGTACGTATCCACCGCGCCGGCCAGCGCCTGTGTAGAACGTCATGTTCTAACCCAGCACTGCTGCCCACCAATCTTCACCAAAAGTGAAAATCCCCGAAACGACCAATCGTTAGACTAATTATCTCATATCGATCAAACAGAGCACGGTTCATTTGCTTTCGAAAATAGCACTTTCAGAAAAGACTGTCCTTTCTAGATATGCCCTCATAAGATTTTTCAATAACGATTTATCAGATTAACAGCAGAACAAATAAGCTATGCTCTTGATTGCACTGCCTGACACTGAACTGAGACCAACTGAGAAAAAAGAAATTGAACTTCAAAAATTAAAAAGACTAAGCAAAGAATGATTGAACTGGATGATAGATGAATAACACAACACCACAGTAGATACAAATTCTAATGAATAGACAAACAAACAAACGAAACAATAGTTAGAGACAACAAAACATATTG